ATTCCTGAGTTTGGATAATGAAAGCAAGCAAGCAAACAACGAAAAGAGTGATTAAAAAACGGCATAAACCAAAGTTAAAAAATTGTATCTTTTGTATTTCCTGGTAAAAGTGTAATGGAGCCAAGAAGCCAATGTTTCTACCTGAATGACGTGTCTCCAACAGGAATCCTTTGACTCTTGAGGTTAAGGCACCAGGTTAGGCAAAGGTGAGGGTGTGACGTGCACGTGGAGCATGCTGGCTTCAAGTGCATCTGTATAAAGAGCAGCCAGCAGGGAAGAAGCAAAGTGATCCGTCTTTAGGCAAAGGGCGCTGCAGGCTCCAAGTGGGTCAACAGACTGGACTAGAAGTGCTAGGCAGCACTGTAAGGCACTCCTACAGGGAGAGAACAAATGGGGTGCCAATAAGGAGAAGGAGCCACAGGCCCAGCTGTCCACTAGCCAGTTTACCAGCCATGAGGCCTGAATCTGGGCCAGGGTTCAGGACTAAGGGCAAGGAAGATCCAGGGGAAGGGACAGACACTGGTTTTCAGCTCTACGGCCAGTAGCAGGGAACCTCCACTGTGCTGGGTCACTGTGGGCATCTGCATCTTTTACCTGGGTAACAACTGGCTTCACTCCAGACCTTGCTAACGAGACAGCTTCTCTTTCCACAGGGAGGAAGCAAAGCAAGACAGCAACTGTCTCCTCACTGAGTTTAACAGAGCCTTCTGTCACATCGGAGGCCACTGTACAAGGGCAGTGCCACCTAGCAGGATCATTTGGAACCCATCTTGAAGGAGACTCCTGACAGTTAGGGTGTGCTTAGGTCACTGTGACTTCTACCTGGAGTTTAACAAGGACTGGGGTACGGGGACTTGACCGTCCACATGTGTCCCATGTGATGGGAATCCACACCGGTCTTTAGGTCCACCGAGCAGGTCCCTCACCCGTCACTGCTCGGCCTCGAGCAGCCAGTTCTACTGGACTCAGGTGGTTAACAAGGGCCAAGGAGAGAACAGACAGTGCTCCCACTGACTCCATGCTTGCCAGGCGCGAGGTGCTTGTTTCCTTCAGCCTTGCCCCAGATTCTGTACTTTTCCACATTATCTTATAATAAGAAAAGGAGTGAGACAGAAAACTCAAGAAATAAGGGGAAAGTGCATGCATCTCTCTTTACTGGGAGAAGTAAAAAATAAAATAATATAACCTTTGTGTTGACTCCGGGCAGCATTTGAGTTAGGAGCTGAAGATTTACTTCAGAATCCAGTTATTTCAACAAATCAGCGGCAGATCAGCGCAGATGAATAATTCTGCCCAAACCTACAAGCAGCAGCATGGCTTCACCCTAAACTAGGAGCAGAGTGTGTCTCTGCTTCTCAGATAATGCCTCTCTTGGCAGAAAGTGTCTGGTGTGGCACCCTGATCAGTAATTTACACATGGCCTCTTCTGGCCAGTGGGTAGAGAACAAGCCCACAGGTTTGGAAGCCAAGCCTTTTTGAACAGGCACGGAAGAAACTATCCACTGTATTGTTCAGTGTGTCCATATGCAGACATAAAAACAGGCCAGACCACATCCAAGGGGACTCACTCCAGCTTAGCAAAGCCTGCCTGGGCAGCTAGAGCCACAAGAACAGCTCTGTTCTCAATGCAGCTGGAAGGACTTCATGGCTCAGCCCTTTGCAGGAGACTGAAGGATACCACTGCACTGGTTGGAAACCACAAATCCCAAGCACTAGTGATATTCCCTCTTGTTGGAGGCCTAGTCTAGGAGAATCAAAAAGTGATTACCGGGCCGGCCCCGTGGCTTGGTGGTTAAGTGAGCGCGCTCCACTGCTGGCGACCCGGGTTCGGATCCCGGGCTCGCACCGACGCGCTGCTTCTCCG